TTTGAAAAACTGGAAAAATTCTGAATTGGAAGCAGGAAGAAATGACTCAACTTTCCCATTTCTAATTTCCTTGAGACTGTGACTCATCCCCCTAAATGGGCATTCATTTGGGTTGCCCTTCAGTGTCTCAACCAGATTACAAACTTCTAAGTCTGCCTGTCTGAAATCTGACTTTATATGCTTTTGGGATTGTCCTTGGAAAAAGATGTGTTTTAGACAGATGTATAGAATAGATTTTTAGATTAGAGATTTTTAAAATAGATTATAGATTTACTTTTAAGGAGAAGATAACCTATGTTTAATATTTCTGTAACTTTTAAAAAAGTTAGGCAGCTAGGTGGTGCAGTAAATAGAGTGCTAGGTCTGGAATCAGGAAGACTCATCTTCATGGTTCAATTCTGGTCTCAGACACTAGCTGTGTGACTCTGGGCAAGTCACTTAACCCTGTTTGCCTCAGTTTCCTCATCTGTAAAATGAGCTGGAAAAGGAAATGGAAAACCACTCCATCATCTTTGCCAAGAAAAACCCCCAATGGGTTCCCAAAGAGTTGAACGCTACTGAACAACAACAAATTAAAAAAAAAAAAAAAGGAAAAGGGGAATGGCTGTGTTTAATTTCACTACCACTAGAGAGGCAGTGTGGTGTAGTGGGCAGAGTACATGACCTGAAATCAGAAAGACCTTCATTCAATTCCTGATTCTGACACTTATTATCTCTGTGTGACTCTGGGCAAGTCATTTAACTTTCCTGAGCCTCTATCAAATGGGAATGTTAATAATTCCATCTAGCTGGCAGGTTTTTTGTAAGAATCAAATAAAATAATATATGCGCAATACTCTGCAACCCTTAAAGTGAGCTATGAATGAACGCCAGCTATTATTATAGTTTTACCAACTTTAATATAAAGGATCTCAAGTAGCATTTTCCACTGGTCCAAAGCAAATGTGTTCCACTTGCTTTTGCCACCAGAAAGCAATGTAAAGAAAAATAATATATACCTTAGAGTTAATTATCATTCCCAACTGTTAAAGAAGTGTTTCTGTACAAAATAATAACTGACTTTCTGAATACGACTTTGAGGTTTGCAAAACAATTTACATACATTATCTTATAAACATGAGGAGGTAGCTTGATTCAAAGGAAAGTACCACTGGGTTGAGAGTGAAAGGACCTCAGTTGGAGTGCCCTGCTACTTATCACCCACCTGTGTGACCTTGGGCAAGTCTGATGACCTCTGTGCACCTCAGCTCTTCATCTACATAGAGGGTGTTATACTGGATGGCTTCTAGGGTCCAGTCTAGGTCTAAATCAATGACCCCATGAACAGGCCCTAAGGTGGAGAGAGCTTGGTACAATGGAAAGACACCAATTCTGGAGTCAGATGGCTTGAATTCAAACCCCAGCTCTGATGATTGCTCTCTGTCTACCCTTGGGCACATCACCTTCCTTCCCTGGACCTCAGTTTCCTCATCCGCAAAGCATGAGGGTGAAAATGTCAAAACTAATATTACCTCTAATTTGGCCTCTGAAATTCCAGCTACCTTTACAGTTAGAATTGTGCATAGGTACTTTATTATCCCCATCTCAAAGAAAAGGGAACTGAGGCTCAGAGATCTCCCACAACCGACAAGGAGCAAAGATTCTCTGGATCTTCCAGAGAAACTTCTCTACGCTGTTCTGGAAATTTCTCCAGAAGATTCAGGATGCTGCAGGTTCACAGGCATTAAGCAGTTGTGAAATATTTCACGCCCTCCAGGAGCAATACCGCTCTCTAGGCTATTTCTCCCCTAGCTACGTGCTAAATTGAATCTCAGATTTTCCATTTCCTTTCTGGTCCTCCTGACCTTGACTGTCACAAGCTATGAAGCTTAAATAATTTCAGAAATGAGAAGCAGAAAATAATACTGTAACAGCAGTGAAGTATACATGATTATTTATTGTACTAAAAACAAGATGTCAATAAGCATCCAGGAAACAACGGTTCCTTCTAATCATTTGCAGTCACAAGAGAGAGATGACCATGTTTTCAATGAGATGATGACTGTAAATTTTAGTCCAAAAATCAAATCGACTTGAGAATTTATTTATTACTGACCCGTCAGTATCACATAGAAAGTAATCTTTGAAAGAAAATTATGAGTGTTTTGATATAAATGCATCTCAATTTTATTAATAATAAAGTCCCCAGGCTCCATACTTGAGGTATAGAGAAAGCAGATTAGATCTCTTCAAATAATTTTCATAGATTCATTTTGTGCAGTTATAGATCGACATAACCTGGCTTTCAATAGAAAAATTAAAAAAAAAGTTTCTCCTACATCCTGCACATTGAGAGTTCTTCGGGAAATTACAATTTCCTATTTAATTTCTGAAAAGTCCTATATGATCTTTCTATATACCAAGTAATAATCTTGCCTTCACATAAGGTTATTAATCCTCCAAAATGTTATTTATTTACAAATCACTAGCCAGTGAAATATTTTCACTTACCCTTGTGTGTAACAAATTACAGTGGAGGCTGTAATTACAGAATCTGATTACATTCCTTTATTAAATTCTTCCCATTTACAAATCAGGAGATTGAAATTATATATTAAAAAAAAACAGCCTCCAGAGAAATGAGTTTCAGTGAACGGCTCCCACAAGTATTCATAATCACAGCATAAAATGAATCTATTATTTGAAGAGATCTAATCTGCTTCCTTAGTGCCTCAAGTGGGGAGCCTGTGAATAGGTACTTTTTACAATGGATTATTTTCACGAGATAAGGGGACATTTTTTAACAGGCTAAGAGTAATGTGTTATACAGAACATTTAAATTAGAGACCCTGAAGAATCCTATCTTTCTTCCCTCAATTGGAGAAAGATGTCTTTTGGAAGAGAGATTTCTTGTAGGTTTTCTCTCAAAGAAAAGGAAATTTTTATATCTTTCTGTTACTGACAAACACAAAGAAAATTCTTGCCACTTGACCCTCTGGACTCTTTTTCCACTTTTCCCCCCACTCCAAATCAAACCATTTAGCCAGCATTTATTAATCACCTACTACATGTTTTAGGGCAGGTTCAAATGAAGGCACCCCTTCCCAATAGGGATCAGGTAGGAGAGGCAGCTAGATGGTACAGTGGATAGAGCTCCATATCTGGAGTCAGGAACACCTGAGTTCAAATTCAGCCTTAGACACTTTCTAGCTATGTAACCCTGGACAAGTCACAACTCTGTCTGCCTCAGTTTCCTCATCTGTAAAATAAGCTGGAGAAGAAAATGACAAACCACTCCAATGTCCTTGCCAATAAAACTCCAACAACAACAACCCATAGAGGGTAGGCAGATCAAATCCAACAAGTATTTATTAAATGCTAGGCAATTTGGAATACAATGACTAAGTGGAAAACAGTCCTTGTCCTCAAAGAGCTTATACTCTTCTGGTTCTGGCAATAGGTTACAGCAGCACACGGGAGCATTCTTCTCCCCTATCTTTTTATTCTCCCCTATCTATTTATTTATTTTATTATTGTTATTTTTGTTTATTAACTGACCTTTACTTTATAAGAGACTCTTCCAGGGAAAGAAATCTCCGCAAAGGTCAGTATCTCACCTCTCTTCTCATTCAAGTGTCTGTCTCTGGTGTCTGGAAATCGCAAGAGAGAGCTTCTTTTTTCATAGTAAATAATGGTAGTTTTTGGCTTAGTGGGAATTTTTTGGGTGGTGGTTGTATTGGGTGGGATTTGCAGTGAGGACTGGTGATTTTACTTGTGCCAGTGAAGGTCCAATATGGAAACTCCCCCTAGCAATGCAGATCAGCAATTTGTAAGCTATGGTTATAGGAAGTTGCCTGGGGGTAGTAAGAGGTCAAATGAGTTGTCCAGGATTATACAGTCACTATGTGTCAGAGACAGAATGTGAACCCAGAACTTTTTGCAGCCACCACTGGCCCTCTCTATCCACTATAACACAAGACCTCTTGAATGGATGATGATGATAATAATAATAATAATAATAATAATAATAATAATAATAAATAGTAATAGTGGTGGTGATGATGATGACAATATCTTCACTATGATAAAAACACTATCACAATGATGATAACTATCTGCATAGAATCAAAAGCTTTAGGGGCATAGAGGCCTATTAGAAGAAATTAAAATTATGTAGGAAAAGGATGAGATATGTGTCATTCATGTTGTCCCATTTGCTACTAAGTTATCAGGAGCTGTTAAAATTTTCTTTGTATTTCAGGAGCGGTCCCCAAAATGCTGCAAAAGATGAGCTCACATCCCAATGCTATTCAATTACAAAAAGCAGTCATTTTATCCATCTACACAATAGTCTGAAGAACAAGCCAAGGTAACAAGCATTTATTAGGTACCTACTGTGCACCAGGCACAGGGGATACAAAGAAAGGAAAAAAAAAAATCTCTGCACTCAGGAAGCTAACTCAGGGGAGTCAACATGCAAATAAATACGTTCAAACAATACAGACAGGAGAAATTGGGAATAATTGCAGAGGAAAAGAACAAGGATTAAAGAGTCTGGGACTTTAGCTAAAATTTGAAGGAAGCCTGGGAAGGTTAAATATACAAGAATAATATAGGAGGATAGCGACTTTTCCCTCCATCAAAAAAGATAACAACAATACAATAATTTTAGTTATCATTCCTATCCTTTATATTTTTCTTAACTCTTCTATTTATTCCTCTGAAGCTCCGCACTTTAGCTCTTTTGTAGACCAAGCCGGCAATGGAAGGCCCCTTAACTCGCTGCTCCTACTTTGCAATTAACAATCACCGGCCTTGTGGCCCGCATTGCATGCTGGGCATTTGTAGTCCTAGTCTGTAGTCTGAACCTTGTCCAGACCGTAGCAACCAATCAGATGCCTCCTGTTGAAGGACTCTCCGGGGAGAGGCCAGGGAGTGGTGGTCCCTTCCTTAGGTACCAGTGGGACACGCCCCTATCTTCTTAGCAACCAATGCGTCCTAGCAACGGCCAGAGGCTGACAGTTTGGGACTTGTCTACACAGAGAGGGTCTTCTCTAAGAAGTTGACGAGACTCTTCCTTTCTCTCAATTGTAGCAGCCCCAGGTAAGGGAACTTATGGGGGTGGGGGGGGGAGGGAAAGCTTAAAAAAACTTTTTAAAAAACAATAATAACTAAGGGATAACTTTTAAAAATGACATCATTTGTACAAGTGCCATAAAGTTCACAAAGCACTTTCCTCACAGCACCCCAACGAAATAAGGAATTTAAGGTAGTTATTAGTAAGTTATAATTATTACTATCAGCTAGGTGATAGAGTGCATCAGGTGCTGGGGTGGGGTTAGAAAGACCTGGGTTTAAATTCTTTCTGTAACACTTGCTGTGTGACCTTGGGCAAGTCATTAACCTCTCTGAACCTCGATTAGATGAGATTGTGTATGTAAAATAAAAAGAAATGTATTATTATGTTTACTATGCCCGTTTTAAGGCATTCATACCAGCATTTATTTTGTTTTTAAAATTAAATGAAAAAAATTGAGGGGCAGCTAGGTGGCGAAGTGGATAGAGCACCAGCCCGGGAGTCAGGAGTACCTAAGTTCAAATCTGGCCTCAGACACTTGACACTTACTAGCGGTGTGACCCTGGATAAGTCACTTAACCCCAGTGCCTAGCCAAAAAAAAATTTTTTTGGACATTCTCCAGCAAACCCCCAAACCAACCACACTCCGTTTCTCGATAAATTGCTTCTCTATTGTTCACAGAAAGTAGAGATGTGTTCTTTGATCAAAATGAGCATTTATTAATAATAGCTCACATTTATGTAGAACTTTATGGGTTATTAAATTCCTTCTCATGAGATCCTTGTAAGGTAAGTCTTGTAAAAAAAAAAAACTGTTTCCTCCATTTTACAGATGAGGGAACTGAGACCCAAAAGGAAGAAGTGATCTTCCCATGGCCACACCTCTCAGAAATGTCAAAACTGGAACTGAATCCAGGTTGTCTCAATTCAGGTCCTGAAACTCCTCCCAGCACATACTTTTAAAATGCCCAGTGATGTGGTGAAATAGTGGACAGAGCGGAGGGATGGCAGCCTGAGTTCAAATCCTGTCCCAGACACTACCTCAGTGACTTTAAGCAAATCATTTCACTTCTTTCTGCCTCAGTTTTCTCTTTTGTAAAATAGGCATAATAATAATAATAATGATAATAATAACACCTAGCACAGAATTTTTGTGAGGATCAAATTAAATAGCCTATGTAAAGTGAGTCAGGAGGACCTGAGTTCAAATCCTGTCCCAGAAACTACCTGGATGACTTTGGGCAAGTAATTTAACCTCTTTCTGCCTCAGTTTTCTCTTTTTGTAAAATGGGAATAATGATGATGGTGGAAGTGATAATAATGATGATGATGACACCTGGCATAGGTTTTTTTTGAGGAACAAATGAACTAACCTATGTAAAGTGAGTAAGCAGGACCTGAGTTCAAATCTAGCCTCAGACATTTACTAGCTGTGTGACTCTGGGCAAGTCACTTAACCCTCTTTGCCTCAGCTTCTTCATCTGTAAAATGAGCTTGAGAAGGAAATGACAAACCGCTCCCGTATCTTTAACCCCAAATGGGGTCTTGGAGAGTCTGAAACGACTCAACAACAGCAAAAATGCGTGGCAAACTTTAAAATACCATATAAATGCTTGCTATTATTTTTAACATAAGGATGTTTGAGACATGGCTGTGTTCCCAAGGGGCTTAGAATCTTGCTAGAGACACAAAGCCAGCTCGACTCTGCAGCATAGACTATAAATACAGAGGAAGTTCAGGGAAGGGAGAGATGAGGGATGGGGTAGAGAAGACTTCATCAGGCACATAGGGCATGGGATGGAGATGGGGAGTGAAGATGGGTAGGATTCAGGGAAGCGACAGAGTAGATGAATCTCCAGGCAGTGGAACCCATGAGAGAAGCCATGGGAGAAAGCCCACAGCGTAAATGGAGGACTGGAGAAGATTGGGGAGTAGTAACAAAACAAGGCTACATGATCTGTGCGGGCCACATCATGGAGGTTTTTGGAAACCAAGCAAGAGTTTGAACATGAGGCGAGGCAGTAATATAGAAGCAAACAAACAAACAAAAAAGGACATGATGGATTGGAGGAGAAATAGTGTCTCAGGAAATGGTGCTGAGAAAAGAGTGAAAAGGGAGAATGTTGGGTATTCTCAAGGAAGAAATGATCAACAGGGTAGGAAATAGAAAAGGGAAGGGTCAGAAGTGATCCCAAGATTTCCAGACTACAAGAATAAAATAGCAGCAGTCATATTACTACTCAACTTGTTCAGTCATTTTCAGTTGTGTCTGACTCTCTGTGACCCCATTTGGGTTTTTCTTGGCAAAGATACTGGAGTGGTTTGCCATTTCCTTCTCCAGCTCATTGCACAGATGAGGAAACTGAAGAAAACAGGGCCAAGTGATTTGCCCAGGGTCACACGGCTAGTAAGTGTCTGAAGTCAGATTTGAACTCAGGTCTAGCACTCCATCTACTGTGCCATCTAGTTGTCCCTTGAAGCCAGGAAGACTCGAGTTCAAATCTGGCCTCAGACACTTAACAGCTGTGTGACCCTGGGCAAGTCACTTAACTCTGTTTGCCTCAGTTTCCTCAACTGCAAAATGAACTGGAGAAGCAAATGGCAAACCACTCCGGAATTTTTGCCAAGAAAACCTCAAATGAGCAGAAAAAGTCAAACACGACAGAAACGACCGAAAAACAACAACAACAAATCGTACAGATACGTCAAGGAAACATGAGGCCTGAGGAAAGGCCATTGGGTTTGAGAAGGACACCTTTGGTAAATATTTGAAACATGAATAATGTATATTAGAAACATAGACAGTGTAAATTTCACATCTTCCAGGGAACAGTTCCCTGGGATTTCAGTATTTATATAGAATCAAACCCAAAGTCCCATGATTTTTGTTCTGCATCCCTGAATTCTGTGTACATGGTTTGAGAGAAGGAAAATATTAGCAGAACAGAATAAAATGCCTCCAGCCCCCTGGTCAGTCTTAGAGCCATTTCTCTTCCTGTTGTCAGAAAAAATATCTGGATAATTCAGGTGAGAGGCACAGGCTCTGCCTGAATTATCTGACTGATCCCCTTAGTTACCAATTAGCTGCTACTTGCTCAGGGCAAGAGTGAGCACTGTAATTTTGGGGGGTTACACCAATTTATTAAAAATGAAAATGTATAATGTACCCGATGATAAGCAACATGAAACTGTACAAAGAATGACCAGCTACATAAGACTTTCAGCAGCATGTCAAGACATTGTCTCTATAATTGATTACCTCTAAAAAGAACATCGTATCCAAAAAAATACTACTGGAGATCACCTTAAATGTGGCCACATTTAATGGGTCAAAAATCTTTCCATGTAGTTTACGTCTTAATGCATTTATGTATTCTTAATTCCAGTACTTTCCCTCATTTAATCCTTCCCTATTTATCTTGTATATAGCTTGTTTTGTATACAGTTGTTTGCACGTTGTCTCCCCCACTAGACTGTGAGCTCCTCGAGGGCTGGGACTGTCTTTTGCCTCTTTTTGTATCCCCAGTGCTTAGCACAGTGCCTGACACATAGTAGGTACTCCATAAATGTTTATTACCTGACTGACTTGTTTTCTCCTTCATTAGATTGTAAGCTCCTTGAGGGCAGGGACTGTCTTTTGCCTCTTTTTGTGTCCCGAGTGCTTAGTATGGTGCCTGACACATAGCAGGTGCTTAATGAATGTTTATTGATTGACTGATTAATTTGAGGGCCTTGATTTTAACTGTCATTCTCCTGCTCAAAAACCTGCAATGGCTCTCTATTGTATGTTGCATCAATTAAGTTTTTCCTATTCAGAGGTTCCTTGGTGAAGAGGGACTTTTCATTCTTGGTACCAGTATCAACAGTGCCTAGAATAGTGCTTGGTCTGGAGTTGCTTCTTGATTGTACTTCTTGATTTATCAATCCCTCTTTTATACTTGCCAAGTTCTGTTTTGTATTATAGATATAACCTGTGGTTCAATCCCTTAAATCCTAGATTTTCGCAACCCAGATCCAATCCTGGGGGCAATGGCCAGATATCACTTTCCTTTGCTCATTATGGCTCCACTCAGAGTTTATTCTTGAAAAATTTCTGACTACAGCTTGTGTTTAGGTCCGCACATATGTAAGTAGTAGGCTCCTCAGCCTCCATGCAAGTATTTAAGTAATAACAGCTAACATTTATATAGTGCTTACGTGTACCAGGCCCCATGTTAAGCAGTGACACATATAATCTCATTTGATTCTATCAACAACTCTAGGAGGTAGGTGCAATTATTACCCCCATTTTACAGGTGAAGAAACTGAGGCAGATATAAATGACTTACCAAGGGGCTGTACAACTAGTACGTATCTGTGGCTTCATTTGAACTTGAGTTTTCCTGACTCTAGGTCCAGTACTCTATCCACTGTACCACCTAGTTGTCCCAATGTATATAATGAGTACAAAATGGTCTTTTTTGCACCCCCACAGAATATATAGAGAATGTAAGTTATTTATAGGAGTTCATAAATGACTTCAGAAAAAAACCCCACAAAGGATTCATAGTAGTATGTAAACAATTGATATATTTCTTCTACCTCTCTAGTGAATCCTACTTTTCCCCAGGAACCTAGTACACTTCTGCTTAATATTTGCACCCTGTGATTTGGACTCCTCAAAATGGAACCAAACAAAGCTCCCCAAATTTATAGTGCCACCATGGGGATCTGACTCCCCCAAAGGGAAAGGCATTTGGGTTATTTGATGGGCAGCTGCTCTACCTATTGGATCTGTACCATCCAAATAATTCATGATAATAGCAGAAAGCAAAGTACAGATCCCTTGCGCAGCTCATGTCATGGCTTTAGTCCCTCACAGATGCTCCTTCCAACACCAGGAGACAGACAGGCTTCTTCTCTCTCCAAAAGGCTCACTATCCAGGAAATTCCCCTTCTTTTGAGAGAAAAACAGAACCCTAACCTCTGAAACTTGGAATTATTCATAAGGCAGCCCCTGAGGCGGGTGTAGTCAATGAAAACCTCA